ACGCCTAAAAAAGTTGGCTCTTTTTATTACAAAAATATCACCATGTCTTTATATCCTTTAGATTAACTCATCGGATGTCCAAGATGATCGAGTTTGTAGTTTGTAAATTAAAGAGGGTTTGTATTTGATCTCTAATATATACTCCGTATATAGGGAGCGGTTCCAATGAGAACCACTACCAAAAAAACTCGTTATAGGCACGGTTTGTTGGAAAGGAAACGTTCCGTTCCTAATTTGGCTCGGTTGTTGGCTCGCAACAGCTAAATATCATGTTTTGGCGCGGAAAAGTTGACGTCAAATGAAATTTCGTGATTGGCACGGAACATCCGTGCCAAAGACCGACCCAAAGACGAAAACACCAAAAAAGTTTAGATAGGAATCGGATCCGATCCAAAATCCATTTCTAATTGCGTCGGTTACGGAACAGCGCGAGACAAGAATCCGAGACAAAATCCATTCCAAAACTGGGAAAAATCATATATTCGGATGAAATATAGTATGGCGGGGAATACATCCGTGCCAACATCTTCCTTGGCAACATCCGTGCCAAAAAGTATCAGTTGTTACTTTCACAAATTCCGCTTCCAAATGTAGCCGTTGATTTCCGAGACATACTCCATCCCAAAAGTACCCGTTATCTACGGACATTTTGAAATTTCGTGCCAAAAACCTTGCCAAAAAATTCTATATATAGAACACATCTTATTATGTATTCATTCATTACATTCTTATTAATAAGTGGTGATGAATTTCCAAGAATATGGAAAGTGGTATTATTTTCTATTTTCCATGTGGTTGAAGTATTTATATTTGGATTTCTTAAGGCTGAAGATGACGACTCTCCAACCAACAATCTATTTGGTGATCAAAAAACTTCAGGGACCAAGCCAACGGTATGCTAACTACTATTGCTAGTAATTAATACTGTCCTTTTGATTGAAAAAATATCATTTTTCTGACCGATATTACTCCTTAATCACTTTACTTCCCCTCTCTTATTTTTAACTGACCAAGTTCACTATTGAAACAAAACTACTATCATTGTGCTATTTTAATGACCAACATTATATAGTGCATAATAATCTTATTGCTCTCTCCTATTTTAACTGACCAATGTCACTACGTAAACAAAATTACTATCATGTTATTCTTTTAATGACCAATTTTACTGCATAACCAACTTACTGCCCCTCTTTTCATTAGTTTTTATTATTTTGCATTAAACTATTCCCCAACCATTCACTTTCTACTTCCTACCACTTTTGATTCTTTACAAAATTACGCCTTACTGCTTCGAATCTTGACCTCTTATTTTACTTTTGAAAACATCTATGAAGAGTGTATAATGTCCACAGTCACCGGAGTGGTGTTGTCCTTCGTCTTTACTGCATCCATTGCTCCACCGTCACCAAGCGCCGGTGTCGTTATTCACTGCTGCATCGAATCCACTACTCTACTTTACATCCAAACTCTTTTTTTTTGTTTAAACTCTACAAAGACAAACACGTGAGGGCAATCAAGTCATTTTATTTGGAGTTTAAGAGAGCGATACTCATGTACAATGAATTTTAGTCATACTTCCGTCAAACAAGTTTTTTAGTCATAATATGGGAAAGTCAATGTCTTTTACTCATATAGTCGTATTTTTCCCAATATATATATGCAGGCCGTCCGATTTTATGGATCGACCCAGGTAACTGGAATCGAAATAAAGAACAGCCCTCAGGCGCACCTCAAGTTTAATGGTTGCACCGGTGTGAATGTCAACAACGTTAAAATTACTTCACCGGGCACCAGCCCCAACACAGATGGAATTCACCTACAGAACTCCAAGAGCGTTACCATTACAGGCACAACTATAGCATGTGGTACGTGCGTGCGCATGTACATATATAAGGAGTATACTCGATCGATCATGCATGCATATACTTATATAATTATCATCAAAACATATATGCATCATCTGATGTATTGCAGGAGATGACTGCGTATCCATACAAACGGGATGTAGTGATGTCAATATACGGAAGTTGACATGTGGACCTGGTCATGGAGTTAGCATTGGAGGGCTTGGTAAGGGTGGTACTCAAGCATGTGTCTCAAACATCAAAGTTAGTGACAGCACTTTTACAAATACATTAACCGGTGGGAGGATAAAGACATGGCAGGTAACATACATACACATCCATGCATACATACTTCAATAAAAGTGAAAATGATCAATCCTTTTGGGACGGAGGTAGTAAGTCCTATTTTCCTATTTGGGGAACAAGGATGTTTTTACTTGGACTTTTTTGAGTCCCAGACCAGACGAGATGGATAATTATATAATACACAAAGACCAAGATCTGAAATTTCAATCCAAGTAAAAACATGCTAAAACATAATGAGCGAGTCTTATTTTTGAACTTTGCGTGCGTACGTTTTATTTAGTCCTATATATATGGATCGATGATCAATTTATATTGATGATATCGGTGTTATATATAAAAAAATTGTGATGCAGGGAGGAAAGGGATCAACAAATGGGGTGACGTTCTCAAACATAAAATGTGTGGGTGTGGAGACGCCTATCATGATTGACCAGTTTTACTGTGACGGTGGAGGATGCCATAACCAAACAGGAGCGGTAGAAGTAACAGACGTGACGTTCCAAGGGTTTACTGGAACATACACCACACAAGCTCTTCAATTAGCTTGCAGCGACAGCATGCCTTGTTCGGGAATAGCATTATCGGCCATAGATCTCAAGCCTCAAGTCAAAAAAGTTGTCGCTCCACTCTGTGAAGACTCGTACGGAACAACCGCTGGAGCAATTACTCCAGCCATCTCCGGTTGCTTGAAGGCCGGAACCGTAGCAAAGAAGAATGCTAATGCTTGCACATGATCGGTGCATGCATGCATCATCTTCCATCAACATATATAACCGGCTGGCCAATCTCACATCTATCTTAGCTTTAATTTAACTATAATCAATCAAAACTAATTAAATAATTAAATAAGTACCATGTATCCTCATCTAGCTACTTTGAAGCTAGCTTTTATGTATATTGATGATCATAATAATTAAATAAGTTTGCATTATCATTTTGCACTTCCCAACTTCCTTGTGTGTCTCATACCCTACTTACTACTTTCTTCGTTCCCTTTTAATTAAAACAGTCCACTTTGCCAATACACAAGTTTGATCATTAATATTTTTAATTCCTTATAAGTAAACAATTTATATAAAATCAGATTTTGAAAATTTAGAATGAGAGGAATTTAACAGTATTTTTTATAAATTTAATTTATAATACATTAGTAAATAAAATATAGTCAAAGTATAATACATGAATAGTGCAAAAGGTCCAATGTTGCAATTAAAAGAGAACGACGCCGAAGCCTCTGGGGGGATTTTCTAACGGTTTCTTTCTTTCTTCCTAACCCCACGCCGGAAATGGCTGCTCAACCTGTCAAGAACAAAACTTCCTCTTCGCCCGGCAAGGTTTAAGAGGCTTCCAAGCCGCTACAACCAGTGGCGGAGCCACAGATGTTCTAAAGGGTTGACATGAACACCCAAATTTTTGAAAAACATGCAAGTATATATGTGTAAATTTAATACACTGTTATTTTTAAAATTTCTAGTTGTAAAACTGAATTGAACTTCCAAAACTTGAATTCCAATTCCACCACTGGCTGCAACAACGACGCAATCTCATCACCTCCCTCCCACGTAAGGCTTCTACTTTGTCCGGAGATCTTCAAGACACTGTAACGAACTCGTGCTCGCTCAAAAGCCCTAATTTTGAATTTCGTGGAAGAATAAATAGGAAGGTATAAATTTGTAGTGAGTGGATCAGTGGAAGAAGAGAGAAGGGGGGGAGAAGTTTACTTGAAACGGTGGCTGGAAATGGGGGGAGATGGAGGAGTTGGTTGCAATGGGACGATGCTCTGGAACGGGAAAGGAGTAGGAGAAAAAGAAAGAGAAGAAAGAAAAAAGAAAGAGGAAGAAAAGAAAAAGTAAAAAAAAGAGTAAAACTAAAAAAAGTCACTTGGACATTCCACGTAGGCAGTCAACCAGGAAACCGGTTGATTAATGAAATAGTCGATTTGGTTATTTTTTAACAGATCACAGATTTAATTGATTCATTTAAAAGTATGTGGACTCAATTTACTATTTGATGAAATTACATGGACTTTATAGTTTTCTCATAAAATAATGATAGGTCCATTTTGTGAACTTTATCTTTATTTTAGTCCTATGTAGAGAATTTTCTCAAATATATGCAGGGGCGGATCATGTACAAACCCATGTGCTTATTTTCCAAACGTTTATACGACGCATCTTTACGTTATTTGTATTGCATATTGAGATTCAAAGTGTTGCATATTAACGTTCAAAACGTTCAAAGTGGCGGTTTCCGGCGATTTCGATTCCTATCGATTCACCAACTCTTCTAAGTTAAATATCACCACTTTATATCCATATTCTACACTTTTAAACGTGTAGAACTTCATGTTTAATCCACCATATGATTTCTTTAAAATCATATCAAAATACTAGCTAAAGAATAGTTGTAGAGTTATTACCTTTATTTCTTTCTAGCTTCTTTTGGCTTGTTATCCCTTCTTCTCCTCTAGAGCTCCTGATTGTGAGAGTTATCCTTAAGCTCTCTCTGTCCCTCTTGGTTTTGGGTGGTTCGAATGGTTCAAGAGGGTGGGGGAAGGATTACCTTTCAATCAACACAAAATAATTGCGTAAGAAAGTCATGTGTATGATGTTGTCTTAATGAGAACTCCCACCAACTAGCACGTTTCATGCTATTCATCTTGTCCCCTACCCATTATTTTGGGAGTTATTTGACCGATAGAACACCCCAAATAGATGTAGGAAGTCCGTCACAATTATTTCTCCTATTTCTGTTAGAGTGGGTAAGTGAATTTTCGGAAGATTTGAGGACTTCCCTCCCACACTCTAAATTTCTTCACTTTCCCGCCGCTGCTCACCATTACTGTCATATCGCTCCCAACAAATTCAAACCCGTCTCAACCCTTCGACCTCTGAATCTAGACATACATTCATGTGTGTACATGCCCGGGCTGCCAGACGTCAGGTTTGCTAATAAACACGGTTGCATCTTTGCATCGTAAATAAATCATCTAGATCTCCTTCCAAATCTAGTCGGGTTGGTGAACTCGGTTTCTAGGGTTTGATCTACGTTTGCGCAGCTCTCGTCTCTGTCGGAAAACATATACTTGGGCATGAAAAAAATGGCAGATTCATTTGGGAAGTTGGGCATTTGAGTGGTTAGTGTATTTATTAGTAAAACCGCGGCCACCTTATCCAGTCAACCCCCCTGCCCCCAGGTCAAATTTTGAGTCTAACGGTCTCAATAATCAGTTCACCGCCCCAAACCATCACCAAAAGGCACAAACAACTTCATCTGTTGATGAAAGCTCATTTTGGACTAGCTGTCCTTTCTGTAGTGTGAGATATCAGTATAGACGAGAGATAGTGTGTAGAGCTGTTCGCTGCCAGAACTGTGCAAAACCATTCGTTGCATAAATATGATATTGGGTCTCATAGCATTTCAACTGGTTTTGGTGCACGTCAACCTAGTCAGCAGACTTACAAGCAAATAGTGGTTCAAAATCAAGGATCTGCTAAACCGACTGCAAATCCATCCGCAGTTCCTCAGTATCCCCACCAACAAGCAGGGACACAAAGAGGGAACGCTTCTCAGGTGTTTAAGGATTTGAGGAGTAAAGAGAAACTTAAGGTCAATGAAAGTCCACAAGACTCAAGAGTTGAGAGCAAGAAAAGGGGCAGGAAACAATGTGCATCTGAATCAAGTGAGAGTTGTTATTCAACAAGTAATGATGAGTCAGAAGATTTTGACATTGAAGAAAAGGAGAGAAGCCCTTCTGGTGTGCAGAGAGTTGGTGTTAAGCGTGACAATGTGAGGAGATCATTTCGGAGAAGGCAGGATGTTTCATACAATGAAACTGAGGATGATGATTTCCATTCGAAGCATTCAAAATCTGTTCCATACACAGAAGATGTAGCGCTTCCTGAAAGCCTGCACAAAGGAAAAACGTACTGATGCAGATGATGCCACTGGCTCAACCTCAAATGGTTCCCAAAAGGTTGAAGTTATTATGGATTGCGAATCAGATTCAGATCTCAATAATGTTGATGATTCGGTTGAGACATATACATACCCTGATCCAGAATTCCATGATTTTGACAAGGACAAGGAAGAGAGTTGCTTCGCAGCTGACCAACTGTGGGCTCGTTATGACACAGCTGATGGAATGCCGAGATTCTATGCTCACATAAAAAAGATATATTTCCCTGAATTCGCCATACAGTTCAATTGGCTTGAGATACATCCTCATGACAAGGTTGTTAATGATTGGGCTGATGCCAAATTACCAGTTGCATGCGGAAAGTTCAAGCGTTGTAGAAAATCTGAAATTGTTTACCATCGCAAACTTTTTTAAAGCGAAAAGCGGCCAAAAGCGTTGACCTTGAGATTTGGGCCCTTTTCAGAGGGTGGGATGTCGGCTGGAGCTCCCAGCCTGAAAAACACCAGCACTTCAATTATGAAGTCGTGGAGGTTCTTTCTGATTATGTTGATGATGTGTGGATTAGAGTTGGATACTTGAATAAGCTGGATGGATATGTCTCTCTCTTTCAGGGTGGGACTGATTTGTCTGGTTCATCTTTCTTCATAAAGCAGAATGAGATTTACAGATTCTCCCACAGAATTCCCTCTTTCAGATTGTCTGGAACCGAGAGAGAAGGTATGCCAGCTGGGGCTTTTGAACTTGACCTTGCTTCTTTACCTGAAAATCCTGATGACCTTTGGTATCCTCTCAAAGGCATGGTGAGCAGAAGCAGTAAACTGAGGACTCCTAGCAAGGTTGGCACATGTAGCTCCTCCATTGACCCCAAAGAAGTTAATGTTGTTGAGGACTTTGAGATTGCAAAGGCCAGAAAATCACCAAGGCCCATAAATGTTACCAAGAAGAAATGAAAAGCAATCCATTTATCTATTGTAGCCAAGGTTATCTGTGTGACATCAGTTCAGAATTATAACTCCTTAGAAATGGCGGTGGTGGTGGTAAGAGTTTGAAACTTAACTCATCGTGATCATGCAAAATATGCTTGTTAGACCGAATGTTATCTTATGTTGGGGTTGATGTGCAGTAAACTGTTTAACTGGTTGGATTCTAGCTAGCTAGCTAGCTTGCTAGATAGATGTATTATGTGTATCAGTGTATGTCTTATGCTTTTAGGACATGTGCTTTTATTTTCATGCCTTGTAATGTCACTATGGGAAATTTGATTTTTAACCCTTAAAAAAAAATAACACTTGGGTTGTCCAAACATTTTCCTCAACCTCGTTTGACATTTTATTGGGCTTCTATAATTATTATGATGACCCAACTAATTATTTGGTAGCCCATTCTGAATATAATGGACCCGATAAATAATTTAATTAATCATTCATTAATTAAATAAGTCATTCTGTGCACAATTTTTATTCGCTAGGAAATTCAAATACTTGTTGAATTTTCAAATTCAAATACACCCGGGTGCGATGTCACAAACACGATATAGTAAATATAGATATAAATTGGTATGAACACTCTGTTTTGACATGAAAATCCGGAAAGGGAGAAAACCACGGGACTGTTTAGGATAATGTCCAAGCCCTCTCATTTTATTAATGCTCCCCTCACCATTACAATGTACAAGCTTCCATTAATGGAGTATAAACTAGCTAAAGAGAGAGGGAGGAGAAAAGTGGATCCTTAATAAGGAGGGGAATCCTCCTATTTATAGAGGAAAGGGAGAGGGGTGCTCCACCCTAATGGGCCAAGCGGCCAAGGCGGGCCTGTTGGGGCAAGGTGGGCCGGTTGGCCAAAAATGGGCCGAAACGGGCCTCATTAATTGGGCTCCGTACCAAATAATGTCTCGGGTTCCTGTACAGTGGCAGGTCGGGGTAATCTATCTCAACACAAGTCCCCTAGTTTATTGAGTAGTGAGCGTGCGAATCTGCTCGAGAAAGTATATTCTTGCTCGCGCTCTTCCTTTGTCTTCCTTGGACCTGAGTCTTCGAGCAATCCTACTACATGGGTGGGTGTCTGCCCCTCTGAACATAATCTACCGGTAAAGCGCTCCCCCTCCCGACTGGATCGGGCAAGGGACGCTCTTCCCCGGACCCTCTCCCCCTGAATGTATCAGGCGGGAGTAAAGGACTACAACCTGGGTTTGCTATACGAGGACCTTAAGAGGCCTGAACCAAGTTGCCTCGAAAAATATGGATAAGACGAACACAATGCATGTGTGTATGTATGAATATATGAGATGTGATGCATGAATGTGTGAATACATGTAATGTATGAGTGCAATGTATGAAAGAGGGTGTGTCAGGCCTGATATACAGTGACAGGTCACATCCTAGAAAGGAATAGTGATCCCAAACATGAACTAGACACGATGGCGATGAGGGGCCGATCGTGCTGCATAAAACGGTCGTCCCCATCCTGTAAGGAATGGGCGGAGCTGACCGTGATCAGGGTACGATGGCGCTGAGGGGCCGATCGTACTGCATAAGACAGTGGTCGCCATCCAAGAAAGTATGGATGAGCTGACAGTGAACGGGATACGATGGCGCTGAGAGGCCGATCGTATTGCATAAGACGGTGGTTGCCATTCTGGAAGGAATGGACGAGTTAATCGTGAACTGGACACGATGGCGCTGAGGGGCCAATCATGCTGCATAAGACGATGGTCGCCATCAAAGAAACAATGGACGGGCCGACCGTGAACGGGATACGATGGTGCTGAGGGGCCGATCGTACTGTATATATAAGACAGTGGTCGCCATCCTGGAAGGAATGGATGAGCTGACTGTGAACTGGACATGATGGCGCTGAGGGGCCGATCGTGCTGCATAAGACAGTGATCCTCATCCGCTCGTTGTACCTGGCCTTTAGCCCGGTCCTTTGGATCCTGAGCTGAGTTAAGCCGTCGTAACAGGGCCGCACGGCCCGTCGATATACATATATGCACAAATACCTATGCACAAACCTTTCTTTTTTCAACGATTACAATTGCCGGCCTACGAGTTACCGTGACTCTCAGCCCGACTCATCGTGAGGGGTTCTTGGGCATAATTGTTCATAGGAGGGCCATTTGTGGCTTGCCGGACGTCACATAGAAACAATCGTCAGCCCGTGAGATTGTAAATTCAACCCCACGTTAGGTGCATTTCCTCCTAAAAGTTAAGTGCCTCAGTGCCCTTAGGCCCCATAGACTGCGATTGGCAAATCGTCACCTCACGCTTGGTGGCGTGGATGATACTGGGGTACGGTCGTTGATCGGGTATTTGATGTCGTGCGGAGTCATGTACAACCCCTAATTTAAAATGCATCATCGGGCACATGCCACTCGGAGACGCTCAAACTGCTTATTAACGTCGATTGAGAGTGGGCGACGGGCCCACTAAAACAGTCATTTTAATGAATCGATGATGGGATAAGATATCCTTGGAGCTTCGCTCGACATTATTTAATTTCGGGATCTTTTAATCCCTAACTAATAATAGTGATATAACAGGTAATAGTAATGATACTATCTACCTACAAGCCATTCAGGTACGCTCCGATAGCTTAATAAAGCCGGTCGGAGTGGGCCCACAAGCCTGCCCTTGCAGTCACTTAATTAAAATGACAGTGCACATTTATCGTTAGAGCTTTGCTCGGTACTACTTAATTTGGGGATATTTTAATCCCTATTAAGCGGTAGAAAATCCAGAAAGGGAGAAAACCACGGAAAGGGGGAATCCCTACTAACTTTAGCTAGATATGCAACTCTAACCTTACTAATTTTGATTATTACATAATCCAGCGCGCGAAATCTAAAGTTACGTGTTTGGTGAAAAATTGGCTAATAAGACTGATAAATCCAAAATAGGGGGTCACTGAACGGGCTCCTAATCTAAATCTGATAAACCATGTATTTTCTGTGTAAATAATTTGCATTGAATTTGTGCGAATTTTCGTTTTACCGGTTCACTCCAATATTTCTCCCGGTCGCGCAACAACGCGAGTGTACCTTGGGGCCTATGGGACTTGTAATATGACGTACAATATTATGTGCAAAAGTACACCAAGCAAAGAATCTAACTTCGGGTGCTATATCGTGGGAGCGAACTCATGGTGAGCATCATACTCCCACAGTTAAAACGATATCATTTGATTTAAGTTTTAACCAACAAAACACGAAGAACAATAACTATGATTTTTGTCTCAGTATTTTGTGTGATGTAAATCTCTTGCAATTAACTGAAATACAACTCTCGTTACTAACTTACTACTAATGTCGTAATCTCAGTTAACGTCAAATGTAACTCGTGCACTGGAGTGTAACTCCTGTTATCCCCTCTAATGGTTATTCTCTCACCTTTCACATATGAAATATAAACCGTGTGTATCCAAAATGTAACTTCACACAACTCAAAATGTAAATCGCGTTAATTGAAATGTAACTTGATGATGAAAGTCAAAATATAAATCACGTTAATTGAATATAACATGAGCAAGTCGAAATGTAAGTAGCAGTATTGGAAATTTATAAATGATGTTAATGGAAGTGTGATTTAAGGCAAGTAAACATGTAAATCATGTTAGATGAAATGAGGCAAGTAGAAATGTAGTCTATCTAATACATATAAAACTTGATGGAATGTTGTAGGTCTTCGAATGCAAATATAAATTTTTATTTTAGATTAACAAACTTTAGTTTTGAATTAATGGAGGGAAAAAATCCTAGGTTTATTTTAGGAAAAATTGAAAATAATAATCCCAACTATTGTCGGTCCGATATTAATAATCTCAACTATCGATTATTACTCGGTGGTCCCAACTATAGGGATCATTTCCCAAAAATAGTCCCTGACCTGCTACAACCTGGTATAACAGGTCAAATTTAAATGTGAACAATGTGTAAGATATAAATAATCCCAACTATATTCGATCTTCTTTTATTAATCCCAATTATCAACTCTAAATTTTAAAAAAATACAAAAAAAACTATTAAATTGCCAAATTAAATATTTTTAAACATGTAAAAAATAATTATTAAAATTCTACAAATGTAGAGACGGAGATGCCAGTGAGAATACTGAACAGACAACACTGAGGCACGGCCTAAGCTCTTTGACCATAAACCATCCAATAAAATTTATTTTTTTTAGTCATTTTTTATTTTTTTTTCACTAAAATTTATTTTTTTTCTTTTTCCAATTTATTTTTCCTAGTTGTGTTAACAAGTTATGATTTTGTACTATTTTCCTTTATTCAATTTTACATTTTGTCTTTTCAAAAATTATAATGTGATTAAAAAAATTAAGATTTAAATCTTTATTCTAGATTTTTTCATGAAAACATATTTTATTAAATTCTTATGCTATCTTAATTGTAATAATCAAAATTTTCTATTTTTCAATTTTAGTATTTTTATTTCTTTCTATTTTATTTATTTTATGTAATTATATTCTATAAATTATACTCCCTCCGTTCTCTAATAGATGAGAGTATAGCCTTTGACACAAGATTTAAGAAAGAATTAATAGGGGTAGGATAAAAGGTGTAGTGAGTTGTGTGTAAACGTAAAAGTAGGAAAGAGAATGAAAAAGTAGGAAAAAGAATGAGGGTAAATGAGTATATTTATTGAAAAAACTTACCAAAAGTGGAAAAGGAGACAACTAATAGAGAACATCCCAAAATTGAAAGAGGACCAAGATTTAGAGAACGGAGGGAGTATGATATAGTTTATTATTGAATTCTAGTGATTTGGGACATAGGATTTGAAGGTTTTGGCTATGTTAATGAAAATGAATTAATTAATATTTTAATTTAAAGTGACACATTTTTTCTACATATTTTACAATTTCCATTATATCATTTAAAATTACAATACTAATACATTTTCATTAAAAATAGCCAAAACCTCCAAAACCTATGGCCCCCAAATCACTAAAATTGAACAATAAACTATATCTTATTATTTAGAAATTGATCTAAACAGGAGCAAAAACGTTTTGAAATTCCAAAATAGGAGTATCATGTTTTTTATTCCCTGAATAGGAGTAATCTGCCAAGTTTGAAAAAAAATGTCATGTTTTAAAGCCTAGTAATGCCAAACTTGGCAAAAATTTACTCCTATTCAAGGAATAAAAAAGCATGATAGTCCTATTTTGGAATTTCAAAACATTTTTACTCCTATTTATGAAATTCACCCCTTATTATTTATAGAATATAATTATATAAAATAAAGAAAATTGAAAGAAATAACAAATACTAAAATGGATAAAACAGAGAAAAAC